CAATCTGAAAGAAAAAAAACACTTGAATTAAAAGAAGGCAATAGGAAAAAAAAAGCTGTAACAATGTCTAAGAGGAAAGAAGACACTAACTCGGAATATAAGTGATTATTGTATTCAATAGTTAAGCACATGACATATTATAAATAATTTCATGAGTATTATGTACCGTTGGGATAAAAGAGAAAGTGTTTAAGAGTTCGTGAAAAGTCAAATGAAATAATAGAAAATTTGGGTATATAATTTAAATGCATGTATTCCCGTTTTTACTCTTGACAGTTGCTGCAACGTCTTCAACTAGCAACGGAGATACCGAGGTACTCAGACACCAAAGAGATTAGACGCCCAATGCGTCGAATTTTGCGTTACTTGTTAACACTCATTTCTGCTACACATTTTTGAAAATAAATACTCACTTGCAATTGATAATACCTAAATCAACCATAAAAGTCCTCTGCAAATTTAAGTCATTAGTTGCTTGACAAACGCTAGTTTAAACATCAATTATATAAACTATTCAATAGATACAACATATCAAAATATGTAAAGACAAATTTAACTTTGAAATTAAAGTTTAACCGGACAATATAAACGTGCGTCCGATATAAACACCTTTACCTCGTAGACGAAACGCGCATCTGGCATAAAACATTTTAATCCAAGTATATATGATGAGTTTATTTCAACATACATTTTTTGTATTTTGATTCATTTTGAAATTAAATGTTGATACCAACTCTTACGTTATCACTGCTAACTTACAAACGTTTGCAGACTTTTTTCATCATATGAAGGCAAGAAGGTGGTCTCTATTTATTGTTGGTAAACATGTGCTGATAATTGTTGTTAATTGTCGATTAATTGACGTGTACGTTTATCTCCTTACAAATTAGACATTCTGTACAAAGGCGGCTTTATGAAGCCAAGCTTAATTTATCAAATAATCAACTCACCTCTCCTTCTAACTGCCATTTCCGTCCTATTCTGGACGTTCTCTTGTACCATTCTTGAAAAATGTATTATATATCTAAAATAAAGTACAATCTCATTGCCATATCTTAAACGTGTTTCTCCTGTTTTTCGGCCACATAGACATGATATAAATTAAGATGCATCTTTAGAAAATGTTTTTCATTCAGGTTTATTTCCAAATGACAACAGAAATAGTTTAGGGTATAAAACTGAATCAAACTGTCCAGTTGAAAACAATACTCACATTATGCTTTGGAACGGTATTCGAATTAAGAGAACATATTATTTACCTGTGTTTCAATAACGCGATCATTCTGTTACATATCGAATCAACTGATAGGCCATAGGCGGGGAATGTGGTATTGTAATACCAACAAAATTTGTAAAATTGTAATCCCTATGCTTTTCATAAATCCTTCCAGGATCTCAAGTATATTGGTTATAACTTCTTTACCATTCTGTTCGATAATGTTTATACATGTTCATGCTTCATTATCGAAAACTTAAATGTCAAAACCTTTTTCAATATATTGGTAAGAAACCCTTTTTCAAAAGCAGGTATGTTTCATCGAAGACCATTTCTTGTATATTTTTAGAGGTATAAACGACATGTTTGTTCGGTGTACAAGACAAGGTTAAAACATATGATATCTTCTTCTAAATTTTGTGTCAAATCTAATAAGAACACATATATAGACGACATAGATTAGACTATCCTTGATACCCAAATAACATAAGTGTCCTTACACTCAGCGTTATATTAATGGGTCTGCCAAAATTCTCTACTTAACCTCTCTCCAAATAATCAACTTCTATTTGATGAGCCATCAAGAGCAGGCTTCATAGATAGTGTGAAACTACCTACTTTAGATGTGGATACTAAAAAATATTAAGAAATAATTACATACAATCTTTGTCTCTATTTTAAGTCACATTGTTCGTATATGTCAAGCAGGCTTTATGTGAACTTTCCCCAAATAGTAGACTACGTGCATGCCTTATTTTTATCAGGAAACGTTATTTACTTGTCATTGATATTCATATTGAAATAATTTAACCATGTATAACTAATCAGTTTAAATAAAGGCAATATTAGTATACCGCTGTTCAATAGTCATAAATCGATTTAACTGAAACAAATCCGGGTCACAAACCAAAACTGAGGGAAACACATCAACTATAAGGGGAAACAAAACGGAACAACAGAAACTCTGAACTTCTACAAAAACAAACGCCAACATACAAAGAAACGGACTATGTGATAACAACTGCCATATATTTAACCTATAGGTAACAGGTATGATTACATGAATATAACATAAATTTCGCTTCGTTATCAAACCACAAATCGCATATTTAATAAAAAGCACTGAACTCAACTCAACTAACGATATCATAGATAATTTAAACACAAGTGAAATCAGAATAATGATTATACATTACTTGTATTATTTTGTGATAAATACGGGAAATCTTAATGAAATAAAATTAAAGGATGACATAACTGTCGCTATAAAGTTGGGTATATATTGACTAAACATGTACAGCCACGTATTCAAACTTAACTTTAGTGTCCTTTTATTAAAATTCCGATTAGTTTTATGATCCTCGAAAAACTATCAGTTTCATAATTCTGATCCTCCCACACCAGTCGTAGTGAAGTACATATTTGAGCGTAACTTTCTATTGATACATACATTTCTGTGTGTTTATTCAAGACATTTACGCTATTTTTCAAATACGAAGAAGCACACAACAGGAAAATATTCTCTGTTAAATGCTAGGAAAATGTGTCCATAAATCCCATGAAATATTTACTCGAATGAGAAATGTCTAATCACGTGAACCAAAAAATGACGGGTTCTGTTAAATACATAATATGATGGTTTTTGAATACTCAGTGTGACTTTGTTTATGCGACGCGCGATTGTCGTGGCGTCCTCAATTTTAGCCAATATACCTAATGCACCTCAAATTGAGGTACTAAAAAAGTACGTAATCAAAAGATCTATGTGATATTGGACATGTTTCAATTTTTAACAAGTGACTGAGCTTAACCATTTGTTAACATGACGTGAAGAGGACCATTGGATAAAGGTGTAAAAAATATTGTGTTACAATGTATTAAATGTATGCAAGGAACAAAATTTTCAATGAAAATATTTTGAGAAAAAAGGTATTTTTCACCTCCTGAAGCCGCATCACAAAAGGCATTTCGGGGTATTTATGATTGCTGAAAAAAAGTATCTCACTTCGTATCCCGATAGTTTAACAGTTTCTCAGCTTCGATACAATCCATTACACATATCGAAGTTTACGATATGGGTAGTGGAATTGAGGAAATGGCTACTATTACCGCACATAAATTGCGCATCTTGACCCAATTATGTTCAAATTTTACTTATGTATGCTTTGATTTTGTATGGGTTTTTTGATACTGCACAAAGCTTTTTAAAATATGTTATAACATTATCTTGTTTCTTGATCATATATGTCGTATATGACAGAGAATTATTTAGACATGAAAGGATTTTTATCAGCAATTTTGGCATCGATAACAGAAATTATACCTGCTTTTTACGAAGAAAACATTTGTTAACGTAAAATTGAAAGATTGATACTCGCTTTGATATCCTTTTTCTTCGTCACTCCAGTTTATATAGTATGGCAATCTTTGTTTTTATAGAATAAAGAATTCAAAAACCTGTCGGAAAATCTACCTTTTTTGTTTCTGCCCTTAGACTCAACTCAATGGCAGGCATTATAACGTTTTTTTATGCTCAATATTGCAGGCGTGATTTATATTTTTTGTAATTCAAATTCATATCAAATATTATTATTGTCAAAATCAATGGTAAGGAAAGGACTCTAGAAAGGAGGAAAATATTTTTCATTTAGAGGACATAAAACCACTTTACATTAGTTTTATTTATAATTGGTTGCAAGTGAATTTGGCATATGAACTTATATCTCTATTCTAAAAATATCGGTCTGACAAGTAGAAAGTGCTGTGTTTTGCTATTGAAATGTTTTCACCTCTTCAACTTTGTTTTTGAGTCTACCCGATGAACATGCATTAAAAAAACACGTGTCATGCATTTTAATTGTGTAAAAATTTAATTCTGTTATGCCGTTCTATCATATATAAATATATAAACAAATAACTTGCAATTTACTTTTTATAATATGTTGAATTACTCGAAATACTACGTCTTTCTACCTCAAAGCATAGATTGCCTTATATTGTCGTATTTTGGTACAACGTTTTGCAATTTTCGATTTTTAATGCTCTTCAATTTTGTATTTGATTTGGCCTTCTAAATGTTTTGGTTCAAATACCACTGGTGAGTCTTTTGTAGACAAAACGCGCGTCTGGTTTACTAAATTATAAGCCTGGTATCTTTGTTTATAAATACTCATGGTCACCATAAAAGTAGTTTGTGAATACATAAAAAATACCGATTTTATTTTATACTCAAAATGTGGTTTATATCGACCTTTTTTCAAAATCATGATTAGAATATAAGTCACCGTGCTTGTTCCCAATTAGCTGCTGTTCTGATATTTTGTAATGATTATAAATGAAAATGCACTTTCATGTGACTAGAAAGAACACTAAATGATGGAATTTTGAAATACCAAAAATAGCGGATAGCTCTTACAAAGGGCATTCTGAAGATAAACCCTATACGAAAATGACTTATAATTGGGCATTCTCTTATACAAAAAAACAAATAATTTGCTCAATTATTTCCCCTTTCTAAATCTTTTTTTTAAATAATCAATAAATATGTATTGGTGAAAAAACTACCATAAGATGAAATTATATGAAATTAATTAATTTAAATGAAAAGTTTCACATATAAATTGCTTTTTTGCTTCAAAATTTGACAATTTCAGAAAGGTTTGCACTGATCATTTGCGGTCATTTGCGATTCAAGATTTTAAGTGTTTATTTCATGTACATGTCAGGTTTTCATTCTTTTTTACGAGGTAATATTTCTTATAAAAATGAAGATATAATTTACGTTGTGTGGTCTATTTGGATGATGGTTTTTCCTGTTTTATTCCTTTGATATGCCTTTTCAATCCTTAAATTTACTCCGGATGGATATTTCGTCCATTGTGAACCTTTCTGGTGTTCCCAAATAGCACTTACTGTTAAAAGAAAGAACATGTAATACTTAATGTTGATTTCAATAATCATTATTTAGATTAGTCATTAGATAACTAGAATGAGTATGGTCTGACCTCTAGGGATCAGGTATGTGCTAGTACCTGACCTCCTTGTACTCAGTTTTCGTCAGTCATCCGTAGCCATGACATCTATGCGAATTTCTTTATTCTGTTCATTTTTGTTCAAACTCTTTTTTGATCCTATGGCTTGTGAAATGATTGAGTAATAACGAATAAAATATCTGCATCAAAGAGAATTTTTATCCATAACACAGAAAAAAGAATAACTTTGATAATAGCTTGACAGATCTCAGAAAATAGTGCTATATGCAAACGTTTTTAGAATTGTTTTTCCAGGAGAGTTAAGATAAATTTTAACCTAAACTGTTTTTTAATATTTAATTTAAGTCGATAGGGAATATACATTGAGAGCATTTGGTCCATAATACGATTTCTCAGAGATATTTAATTGTTTTTATTTGTTTACTACTTTGTGCTATTTTACAAATAGCGGTACCATTGGTTTTATGACGAGACCATAACTTTCAAATTAGGCTAAAGATCAAGTTTGATTTCAAGTCGATCAGTGGTTTTTATTTTTGAATTTAAAAAAAAAACAAATGAAAGACAAAAGAAAACATATGCAAAGATGTTACAAGGTAAGCCAAAAATAAAATTTGCAATGTAAAGAAAATAGGGCAGTCTGTATCACCCTTATATCTTTATATTGAAGATTTTATCATTTACAGCCGATTCCAACGAGTGTGTACCTAAAGGTAGAATCTTTGGTTAGCTTTCTTGCTAGCTCAACCATGAAATCGTTATTAGGTAAGGTTCTGTACATCCTGCCTTTGGGTGGAGTCAATAGTTAAGCAGAGAACCAATCAGAATTAAGTGGCAGAATATCAACATTGTAAAACTAGTTTTACAAGTCAGTTCAAAAATAAATTTTCAATCTAAATTTAAAATTCAGTGATAATTATAAGATAATTCACAAGCATGTTGTAGGTGTGTTTGATTTGCCAATTTTATTTTCAATTGATAAATGGTGAAAAAATAACTGAAAGCTGAAATTCCTAAAAAAAAATTCTTCTTCGTCAGACATTACAAATAATAATATATATTACGTGTCTGTTGAATTTGTTACATCAAGTTAATAAAATGTAGTTGGATATGATTGACAAATGCTGACCGTATTCCCTTTTACGCATACACATATGTTTACAATACACCCGGAGAGGCAAAAAAAGATTGGAAGGTGTCCAAAAGTACAGATGACCTGATCATTCAATCTAGGTCAAATTAAATCTAAATGAAGTAAAGACATAAAAATTGTTCTTCATGGCTGCATTATTTATCTAAAACTAATAAGTAAGGTAATGTTAACGGACCAAGTGGATGTTAACAAACTCTGCAATATTTTCAATTCCAAACTGCAGTTGGTTTTTTTTTCGTTGCATTTTTAACTAAATAAATGGTCCACAAGTCAACCGTGCATGATATTAAGTAGTATGATAATTTTTCTTTCCTGTGTGAATATAAAAGATTTTAGTTCTAAAAACTATTCATATATATGAAAAAAAGACACCAAGAGCATAACAATATTTCATGCGTGGGGAATACACCAAAAGACACTAATTAACTAAACTGCCTATTTACGGCGTAAATATTTAAAAAAAAAAAAACGTTACTCCGCTTCTGATTTATTGTAATAAAAAGATTTTGTTTAATTCAATCAAACATTAAGAAATGAAATTTCATTTGTAAAGTAGTCTAGATAAACCTTTAAATAATTAATTAACAGGCCATTGCTATGAATGTTTTCATTGGATGACAAAATGGCGCTTTGCTACTTCCAATTTTTAGGTAATAATCATTTCATGGTTGAGCTAGCAAGGAAGCTAACAAAAGATTCTACCTTTAGCTACACACTCGTTGGAATCGGCTGTAAAAAAAAATTGAAATGGACTTTCAAGTATATCGGTACGGTTGTATGATCAGCTATGGGGGTGCCTAAGGAGTAAATAGACATAAACAAAAATGGGAAGAAATGGGAAGGACTGGCTATGGTGTAAAAATTGAATAAATACATGATACAAAAATCACCACAATCTCTGGATTTTCTACCCCAGGAATATATTACATTAACTGTATTTAGTAAAAAGTTTCGGAATTTTTAGTAGTCAAATTAATGCTCTTCTCAACTTCTTACTTTATTTGGCTCTTTAAGTTTGTTTTAATTTCGAGCGTTACTGAGGTGTATTTGTAGAATAAACGCTCATCTGGCGTACAAAATTATAAGCCAGTTATCTTTGATGAGTTTCTTTAGGGGGGGGCAAAGACAATGAAAAGGCAGTCGCCAATTAGATGAATTCTAAACATATTTTTCTTTAACGTATTATTTGTCTTTAATCCTTTAGACTGAGCATATCTTACATGACTGAAACCGCCTAGCAGTCCTGAATTTACTATAGTAGAATCATTCGAACATTGACTTGAAAGACAAAACATGACTAAATATTTTGTGTTCATGCACCTGATACACGTGTTTGCTTTAATTTGAATTTGTTTATAACAGACGAACTGAATTGAAAACATTTGCAAGTCCATTTATTAATAACAGTTTTTATTCGTTGTGTTTTACCTGTTTTTTGTTTCTACATTTCAATCAAATTTAGAAGTTTTTGGTATTTTAGCACGCTCAAAGCTAAGTAAGAACCGAATTTTCTGAAAATGTAATAGTAATTTGCTTACTTGATGTTTCGGAATATATTGGAATAACATAGTCTTCTGGACCGCGGTTATTAGCATTCATTGAATATGGAGCATTTTGGTATTTTCCAGTTGTTGCTTCTTTAAACATTTCTTCACTATGACCATACCTATCCGTTTCCACACACCCTATTTCATGGTCTTCGTTTGAATAATTATCACTGTAATAATATGAAATGATCAATGTCAAGACTAGATTAAACTAAATATCAAACATGAAGATGAAATCTCAAAGTTTTCACAGAAAACAAAAAGAAGGTATGAGGAACCAATGATATAACACGCAATTAGAAGTGGGACATTTAAAGACGTATCGTATCCGTATCTGATACGTTGACGTATCTGAACGTATCTATGGGTTATTGATCAAAATTGATTATTTACGTGTTTAAATAGAACATGTTTATGTGGATTTTTTTTTGTTATGTTAGATGTCTTTCAGTCATTAATACACTCTCTTTTTAACACGATAGTTTTCAATTTATGTTTACTCGTTTATATCTAAACACTCGATATTTAAACCATCGATCATCACTTTTCAGGCATGAATTTAATATAGTTAATGATTGAGTCAAAACCTGTGATGATAATTTCGAGAACAAGGATAAGAGAGGGAACAAATAGGGAAAGGGTGATGAAAATTTTTGTTCTCTTTCATTTTTTACTATTTGAAAAAAAAGTATTGCCTGCTAAATGTATTAAAATTGGTGGCAGTCACCAATCCGACTCTGCTGATGTTGAATTATTCATTTATTAGAAAATTTAAAGTACGCGTATAGATATTGTCAACGTAAACTTTAATTGTTAAATATAATTCAACTTCACGCCTGGGTAGTTCTAAAGATTTAAATATCGAGTGCTAATACATATACAAGTATATAGATTGACACGAAAAACATGTGATTGTTAAATGTGTGGCTCATGTGTGTAGATGTTAGCTTCTGCTGTCGTCCATGCTTTCATAATTGTATTATTAGTTTCTGTAAATATCATATATCGTAGAAACATCACCTTTAGGGCAACAAATGTAACAATAGATAAAAGAAGTCATGATTTTGACATACAAGAAGCAAGACTGTATATAAACACATTTTAAATACATCTATTAAGGATTATGTACCCTTGTGTTGCTTCAATGCTAAACATATGGAAATTTTAAAGAAAAGCCACAGCCTTTCCCCTTGTAGTCTCATATTTGGCAATTCGGTATATGATAGATAGAGGATTATTGCATGCAGTGCTAGCAATGATTTCCTTAAAACAAGTTTATTAATTTTAGATATTAGATTTATTTAAAATAAATAAAAATATGGACCAATTCAAGTACACCTTCTAGGGTCCGCTCGAATTTAGTGACTCAGCACGAGGTGTTTTGGAATTTAAAGGTTGTTTAGGACTTTTTGTAAACAATAAACGCTAGCTGATTACAGAAAAACAAGTGCGTAAACTATGTTTCAAATTTTATAACAAAAATCTCTGTATTAAAGTCTGTGGATTTTCTACAAAATTCTTGATTTTATTTTCACCAAATTCCCCTTTTCTATTAAATGCAACGAAACTATAAATAATTATGCTTTGCACGAAGTTTCCCCTCGGTATATGTACAAAATGACCCATCTTTATTATTCATTATATTTGCTGTTTTGATGCTATTGCAATTTGAAAAGTTCATAATTCACAGGCCACAGAAGGGGTCATAAACCTTACACAATTATTAAAAAATAATTCAGGTATTAAAATTGATAGAGACCAAAAATAGTTATCAACCTTTCACTTTTTTTTCCAACTCTTTTGCCTATTCTCGATTGCTACATGTATTTTAACAATAACCAATAGTATGATACGTTCATATACGTCAACGTATCAGATACAGATACGATACGTCTTTAAGTGTCCCACTTCTATTAAAAAACAATGTAATAAGATATTTTATTGTTACAATTTAACGTTCTTTTACCAACTAACTCAATTCATGTATCCATTTTTTTGTAGAGTCTCTCTCTCTCTCTCCTATTTTTACTTTGTCATAATAAAAAACTTTTTAGACAAAACAGCCGATGATGAAACTATGTGTGAATTATCAAATGTTAAAATAAAAATTTCTGTCTGAGTCCGATGTTATCTCATGTATCTGTATATGATTAATTGTTTATTTGTATTAAACGTTATACTTACATTAACTTCACTTCAAAACGTCCTTTATATCCAATTTTATAGAGGCCTATTTTTTTCCCGTCCCATCTTACCTTAAAATATTTTTTTGCTGATTAACAAAACACTATATAATCATTCAAATGGTTTTTTCAGCATGCAAGATATAAGGACCAATCAACTAATATAATATCAACATTCTAACCTTCAAAACGTTTAAAAATGATTCACGATAGTCATTATGTGCAACTATTAAAAGAAATAATTAAGATACCAATTGCCAATCAAAAAGTCAGGACGATGTAAAGTGTCTCTGTGTTTCATATAGTAACTGTTTGGAGCATTACACCGTTTCATTCAAATGTAAAAGTGAGATATGTCATATTAAAGTCACAAATAATGGAAAACACTTGAATATCTTCCTCTGTCTGTTTGTATTCAGCAGTTGGTGTTCACGATGCTATCTTTTAGTTAAGTGAATGTAAGTATGCATTCTTCGATTGTAATATATCTCTGCTAAGCTTTTTTGTGTTTTTTTGTTGTTGTTTATTTATTTGAATTTTTAGAGGAAGTTATTTATGCTGAATTTTGTCCATATCTATTTTTGGTTGTTTTTTTTTTTTGCAAAGACGTTCCGAGTTTTTAGTAGTCAAATTAATGCTCTTCTCAAATTCTTACTTTATTTGGCTCTTTAAGTTTGTGCTACTGGAAATCTCTTTCATTTTTGGTTTCTTTTCTGCTGCTCAGAAAATATATCGTTTATTATCCCATATGAATTGTTAATCTTACTCTTCTGTTAATTAGTTTTGCATAATATAGGTCTTTCCAGCTTATATTTGTCTGAAGAGTTGCACTAATTAGTATTTAAAAAAGTGAACAATTATCATTGAACAAATTTTGAATATTCATTTAGGTATAGTTGACTGTGTTTTATGTTGATAGGCATCAATGCGATATCGTTTATTCCATAGTTTTTCTTACATTTTTCATGCAGTCTTTTAAACTAATCATAGTCAATTTCAATTATATAAAAGACTCATGAGTGATGCTCGAGTCCCAAAAGTCCTTTATGAGACTTATATTCATGTGAGTCTTATGTTCCTGTACAGAACAATTATGTCTCCTTTCTTAACTTTTTATAAACTTTAGATTGGTACTTTATCTGATTTCAGTAGTATTATTAAAGTGTAGCCATATCAATTAAAACGTTAATTTCAGAAATATCACTTAAAATTTGACTAAATAAAGTTTCCTGCTTTGATGGTGACTTAAATTGCGCAAATAAATAATAAACTTTAGCAAAGAAAGGAATAAATTAAAAAAATGTCGTTGAAAGAAAAATTACATCGGTCGGGTCCAGTTTTTTTTAAGCAAATATAAATTATATAAAGCAAATAAAAATTATGTTATTTGTTTTAATATATTGATATACAGCTGGATGGTTCATAAAGTTTAAGGCTGTGTTAAGCAATATACACCAATATGTAAAATATCATTTTCGTACCTGCCTATGCAAAAAAATAACACACTACGGTTATCTTTTTCTATATTTCCTAAATAATTTTCTTCAACATTTTGCAACAAAAGATATCCTCATATGTTTTCCCTTTGCGTTTATAGCTTTCCTTAACGATGCATCGTTAATGACATGTTAAGCGACCAAACGCAAACAAGTTATGGTCAGGAATCTGAGCAGAATTATTATCTCCCGTTTATTTCCCCTAGCAGAAGTTGTCGACTCTATACAGTAATTTAAAAGTCACATTGATTCGCTTGATGCATTTGAATCGTGTTATGTTTCTTGTTTGTTCTTAAAGTTTCAAAAGATGTGACTTTAAGATGAAATTAAGTCAAAGAAATCAGACATATAATCTAGTATGCCAGATGCGCGTTTCGTCTACAAAAGATGAACCAGTGACACTAAAATATATACAAAAAAAAAGGCCAAATCAAGTACAACTTTGAAGTGCGTTGAGGTCCCAAAATTAATGAGAAAAATTTGTTTTGACTGTCACACACAATAGATGTTTGACTTCAAGAATTTTACTTTCCTTATCATTAGTTCTATTAATTCGGATACTTTAAATTGTATCGTTTACATGGTTTTCCTTTTCGATGTCCTGAATGCTTTCTACAATTCATTGATACTAACTTGTTCTAACGGTAAATAAAGGCAACAGTAGTATACCCGTTTTTTAAAAGTCACAAATCGATTGAGAGAAAACAAATCAGGGTTACAAACTAAAACCGAGGGAAACACATCAACTATATTAAGAGGAAAACAAAGGAACAACGGGAACACTGATGTGCAACAAAAACAAACGCCAACATGCATAGAAGCGAACTATTTGATAACAACTGCCATATTCCTGACATGGTACAGGACATTTTAAGAAAACAATGTTGAGTTGAACCTGGTTTAATGGCTAGCCAAACCTCCCGCTTTATGACAATGTTAAAAAGTATCGCTAAAGTGACAACACTACGTGACAGAAATACAGCACAAATACACGTAAGAACATTCATCACAGAGAAACGCACAAACAAATAATATAATAGTCGACACAACAACGAACATATTCCAACGACAGACACCACAGGATATCAAAAACACGACGCGCTTACGTAACTAACATGCAATCTCGAACTTTATACAATTATTTTCACAATACTCATCCAAACAATTTTCATGACAATGATGGTATTGAATGGCAATTTTATAACTATTTGGACTACAAACGATAAGACATAACACATTATTCAACCGAAAACATAACAGAAACATCAAAAATAAATACATGAATGTTGGATGTAGAAAATACCGAGACACGTCGTATAGCAATGCAAATTCACACTCGTTATAACAGTCATATTCGGGAATAGGTCACATTCGGTACTTAGCAGAGAGACAACATAGATGTTAAACCACAATGTAAGACGTGGTAAAAATGTCATTAGTTAGTTTAGACACAATTCGTGATGGTGTCCATAAAATTTACGGAGTTTCATTTTTAATCTTTCCTCCTCATAACTCTGTTGGAGCAGTTTCTGCGTAAGGAGCACACTCCTGTATATGAAGTCAGTATAGTGTGAACATGCGCGAGCATAACGTATCAATTGAGATATGTAAACACCATACGACGGAGCAGAGGGTATGTTACTGCTGAGAAATGGGAAATTGATAATTGGGAAGTTGAAATCATCCCGTTTATCATAGATTTTAGTGTGAAGTCGTCCATCTGTGTCAATATTGAGGAAAAGATCAAGGTATGAAGCAGTCCTTCTTGTATCAGTAGTATCCTTAATTTCAAGTTCACTGGGATATACGAGATGCAAGTACTGACTGAAATATGGGTTATTCAGTGATAGGACATTATCAGTATATCTGAAAGTAAAATTAAAGAATTTTGCAAGGTGCTTTTTCTTTGAAATCGATGAACCCGTTAACACATCTTTGTTCATTTTCCGCTTCAAACCTTGAAATATAAAATTGCATTATGGAGGGAAAAAATAATTTGTTTTAAATTAGAAAAATAGGCATGCAGAAGTGTTTTTAAATAATTACTATTCTCACCACTACTTTGTCTTCTTGTTTAACACCTAAAACTGTTCCTTCTGTTCCTTTTCCTCCGTCATGATCACCATATTTCCAATCCCTACCTATGAATTAGCTTGGTTATTAGTTACTGAATATATTAAAATATTTTCATATCAGTTTAACATTTTTTTACCTCACGACTAGTTTAGCAATTCATGCAGAAAATTCAAAAATTATTACATCAAATGAGTCATTGAGAAAAAAAAAATTTTGATGTCTGTTTTGAATTCAAAGTATCAAGTTGAGAAACTAAGACATAATAATTTTAATAATACATCATTCTTTTATATACCTCTGACAACTCTACAACCAACTGCTATCAGCTCATCGATCAAAATTCTAGGTTCATTGACTTTTCTTATTTGTAGTCTATCCATCTGTTCATCGTGTGGATAGGGTAAGATATTGCCATGATCCCACTCTACTATAACCCACCCTATATTAAAAAGAGACTGCTTTGAAATATAAAATAGATGTGTAAGAGTTAGTAGAAATAAGGAATTATAATTTGAATTGTAAGATAGTTTTTTTAACCTATTCAAAAGCTTAATCATCCAAGTACGGCATATTTGTTATTATGTGGTGTTTGGATAACTTGACAAGGTTAAGTTTTTCAAACGCTGAACAGGACAAGGGATTCAATTTCATAATAAAATCACAAAAGTAGGCGAGCCGTACGATACTGCAACGTATTATACAGAAATAATATGACGGGTATCGCATATGGAGCAGGATCCGCGCCCCCTTTTGGAACACCTGCGACTATCCCCAGTTTGATTTTGGCTCGTGTTCCCAATTCTTTTTTTGTTTATGCAGTGCTTTGATGACTGCTATTTGTCTTTTCGTTTTTTCTCAAGATTTTGTCGGCCCTTTTTTCATTTTTTCATTTTTGATTCTCGCTTTGCTATCTTCCGTCTCTTTCTTATAATGATTTCTTTGTGCATTACACGTTTTTTCTGCAATATCCTTCAAAAGAGGTTTGGGCAGCCCATTTAATAAAATACTTTAAAACATGGGAATCTAAAGGTTGCACTTCTGTAAATATACACAATGCAATTTCCCATAGGAACTCCCTTTACGGCTAAAGCTGTGCCACTTTTACTATGAAGTTTCGTAATAAATTATTTCATAGAACCGAAAGTTGATATACATTACTTTTTTATTCAAAGGTCAAAACATAGGACTGTGCGGCATATTTTCAACATTTATATGCCCCGAATTTCTAAGAGTTTAAACTTATACTAAAATAATGTACTATCCCTACCCCCACTTTAGATGTCCCTCAGAATTCATTTATCGCCGCTACCATCTGTTTTTATACTGGTAACATTCCCAAGTTATTTCTCTATGAGACGAAACATAGAGATCATATCTGGGAACCAGTACGTAAACAACACGAAATATCTATGAATATTATATATCTCCCCAAAAGTGGCGTGGCTTGTGAAACAGCTGTATTTACAAAGTGCAATCTAAATGTGCTAAAATGCTCAAGCAATCAAAAAGAAGCAGCTTACCGGACTCAAATTTGGTGTTAGTAATATAACATGATAATATTGTAAGTAAATTTTTCCATTGTTAACTGTCATAATCAGAGTTATACGTGTATTCAAAGAGTATTATTAAAAACACATAGAGTTTAGATAATATTCATATAAAAATTTAAAGATTATATTCAATTTTCCCTGCCAAGAATATTCTTTATATTATATTCGTTTTATACAGTCGTTTAGAATTAAATATTTGTTTTTTGCTTGTGTGTGAGTGCCCTGTTTTCATCTGATCGGAAATTAAATGATAAACGTTACATTATGTTTGCCTGTTTAGTTAAGATTGGTCAGATTAACATTGGAGATTTATAAAAAGGGTCCAATAGAAAGCTATGTGAAAGCATCATTACAATTTTAAACTCTTAATAATCACCATTCTTGTTAAGTAGGAACAGATTGGCACCTTCCGATGAGATTTCAATTAAAATATATCGATCAGAATGGACAAGAAAGAAATAATATATTCTGATAAAACACCATAAATACATTATAACTATTGAGTTTGAGTCAGATTGCCAATTGCCAACAAAAATAAAAATGTAACCTTTGTTGCATCAGTGCCTCCAAATTTGCCTACCGATCTGCACAAAATTATCATTATTTAAAGAAGGTTGATTAGCTGGAAAAATTATAGTTCTTAAAATGAAAAACTTTAAAATATAGTCTACCACAATAATAAAAAAAAAATCTGACAACAATGTTTATGAGCTATTCAGATTGATATGAATATTTTTTTTATATAAAATGCCTTCGCTACATTAAATCTTGAAAATGTTTTGTATGCTAAAAGATGGACCACAAATGAAGTTTAAAGTTCGATAACAACATTAGAAGTTAAATCAAGAATATGGTTTTGATAGTTTTTATCGTCTTTTTATGTGTATGCGTTGAATGTTGTTTACCGTCTCGATCATATCCAACAGCTGTTCCTGGAAGGCTTAAATCTTGATCGTTGTAAGTCCAATCTGGACCTCGTCTTACTCTATCTCCCAATGTGAGTGTATGACAACCTAACTCCAGATATAGACCTCGCATATTGTCAAAATTTAAAGGATTGATGAACTCTGGTACCATATCTAGACAATCTTCCTAAAATAATTTGAACAATTAATTCTTTATAATATTTCTGAACTTCTTTCTTGACCTTTGATTTCAACTACGTTGAAAATGTTATGGGCTTGTTAATTTAACCATGCAGATTATTTAGGGTGAATCTGCTTTCATCTTTCAAAATTATAATTGAAAAAACAAACAATACCGTTACCGTTACGAGATTTTACTTGTTTCCTGGCTTATATCGAGCTTGATAACTTTTACTGAAATCAGTTCAAACAAGTCTTTTAAGCCGTAAAAGAGTAATTTGATCAGGATAAAATGGAACTCATAATTTGTTTTTTAAATACCCTGTTTTGTTAATATATCATTTAATTCAAATAAAGTATAAGTTATCAAATAATAAAATTGGATAAACAGGGATCGTTTTTTTGACAGATGTTTACACAGAGTTCAAAATGAGTGTTGTGTTTAACAGTCTTTAGTTATCGTAAAATTTGTGATCGTTTCCCCTTTTCCTTTTGTTTTGACACATTGTTATATGCTTTGAGAATTATACCATTAATCATTACTGTAATTCATATACAGTTTTCAATCATTTAGATGAATTTGGCTATTTTTAGGTACATCTGGTCATATAGCTCCTCAACTGTTTCGGTTCTTATACATCCTTGACTTTCAGATATTCGGCTTTGAGCGTTCCCGATGAAGTTAAATTAAGGAAAGCGCTTCGGACGCATTAAATTTATAACGTGTTGTTTTCATTTTTACATACAGACAAGTCTCAAACAATGACGATATTCTTTTCAATTATAAAATTATTTTCACGACCTGCAATGCAGTTGGATTTTATGTACAACAAGTTTTTTGAGAAAGGAAGTATTTATAGCAAAATAGTATAGTATATTGAACAGCAGTATACTACTGTTGCCTTTATTTGCTATAAAAGTTTCCGTGAAGGAAATAATTCGTCTTTAGTACAGTAGAATAAAATGTTGTTTTCTGTTAGAAAAACATGATGATGCTAAACACTAATCAACAATTACCGATTTTAAATCCCTATTATAACACAATTTTCAAAAAAGTGCTGCAATGTCATTATTTTCAGTTAACCGTAAAACTCTAACGCAGATTAACCGTCAAATATAATTTCTGTCGACACTTCGGTGACAAACATAATATATTCCAATATCTTACATGCTTATCATCCAAGCTAGAGTGATTTGAAATTCTCCTCTTTATGTCTTCTCTGCTTTGATTTTTTAAATATCGTATATCGGAAGCTATCTGAATTGCCAGTAACTGTAATGTAAATTTATTTTATATTGCAATATTGAAGACAACAGTCTCTTATTCGAATATAGAGAATATTGCTAACAGCAGCTATTTGTGTTTTGAAATAGTATAGTATATTTAATATTGACACGTTATGGCAGTTCTTATCACATAGTCTGTTTCTATGTATGTTGGCGTTTGTTTTTGTAGCAGTTCCGTTTCGTTTCCTCTTATAGTAGTTGTGTTTCCTTCAGTTTTGGTTTGTGACCCGGATTTGTTTCAGTTAAATCGATTTATGACTATTGAACAGCGGTATACTACTATTGCCTTTATTTATACAATGTCTAAATTTGTTTTATACAAATATATATGCGATTTATATAAAAAAAAAAAAAAAAAAATGAAAGGGCTACAACTTTTGTCAGGATTCAATTAACCCAAACTTACGAAAGCATGTGTTGCGATAAGTTCCTATTTCTGTCTTTAATTCTAAGCACAAAAGTATCATATAAAAAGCACAGACCATGAAGTTTTTTACGAAAATTGGTAAAGTACCAATAATTAGAATTAACTTCTCAATATTCCTCAAACAATAATTTTGTTTAACTCTTGCAATCAAAACAATGGTATTTCAATTATTAAGTGCAATATTGCATCAGTCAGATTTCAAAATTAGAAATGGTGTGTATTTTACAACGCATGTATCCATTTTCTTCTGTTGTAGACGGTAATTTATTTGTATAACGAATTTTGGATGAGCACTGCTATCAGTACATGTATTTTGTTTGTCGGAGTAATTTCACTTTTCACTAAGTATTAATTTGCAACATGAAAACATTTCTGAGACAAGTTAATTTTAAATTAAGACACATCTTTTAAAATTACAAAGCAAACAACAAAGCACTGTTTTTATAGTGATTAAGATTATAACACAATGTTGACTGCTGTACCCCAATTTATGACATTTTTACCCAGTATTTCTGTTTGTTTTGTTCAAACATTGTTGTCAATATAATGGAATTCTATGCGAATGTCATACAAGTGAGAGGTTTAGCTAGCTATAAAACTAGGTTTAATCCACCATTTTCTACAAAAGGAAATGCCTGTACCAAGTCAGGAATATGACAGTTGTTTTCCATTCGTTGATGTGTTTGATCTTTTGATTTTGCCATTTGATAAAGGACGTTCGGTTTTGAATTTTCTCCGAGTTTGGAATTTTTATCATTTTACTTTTAAACCATTGTTTCTTTTTTTATTACGTTTTAATTCACATCTGGGGAATACATGCACATCAGGGGACGCTTATCCTAACAAGGCACCCGATCTTTTTCTCCGTTTAGAGCCAATGCGTTCCACTCAGGTTAAGGTTTTTTTTTATCCTAAATTTTATATTCTTAACGAATTTACGAGATTGGTACATCGATCAATCGGTGTTTCCTCTAATTGAATCGAGTATGTAATGAAATTAACTTAAACTAGATTATTTCCTTATATATTCATTTTTCATGTACCATATCTTTAAAGCTTTTGTGTAAACTTTTGTTCACATAAATAGGCTCAATGAAAAGTTTTTATCTGAATAATTGTGGCAAACTTTTAACATTTTCCTGCGCTCAATACATGCAAATATGGATGTTTATTAAGATGAAAATACGGTTCTGTATAAAAGTCGTAACCTCATCTTAATGAAAATAAATAAACTGATTGTGAAATGGCTTCCAAATCATTGAAATCACTGTAATTTAAATTTATTTATCATTTACGAGTTTAAACACAAAAAATAACATAAATGATAATAATCACAAAACATATTGTTCCTTGTATACACTGAGAGTTTCTTATTATGTAGTATTATTAACGCATGATAAAATACTTGAACGGAATTTTACAAATAATTAAATATTTTGAATGAACAGTGTTTTGCGTTATGCATTATAACTTTCCATAGAAAAATATATCTCTTGGTACTTATTGTCTTAGATGATAATACCAGGCCAGTATCAAGGACTTTAGTACTTTGATGGAAAAACGAATATTGATCTATTTGAATTAGCTGTTATAAAATTTTGAAATCAATAAAATAAAAGAATGTATCTTCCTCAAGCATAGCATGTTTATGTTCTGAGTTTGCTTTTCTTTTGGTCCGTTTTAGCTTTGTCTGCTATTCAACGTTTGTATAATGTTTCGGACTTTGAAATATTTTGCCCTTGAACATCACTGAAGAGACAATAATTGTCAAAATCCACATCTGGTATAATGAAATTGGTACTGTTAATATTAATATAACTATATGATAATCAGTAACCATAAATTGTATCAGCTGAAAGCTGAGGTAGCAAATCTGAATTAAAAGATTGACAAATAGGTTTACAATAAAGACCTCGACATAACATCATACATACCATAACTCGAGTCATTCTGATCAAGCGATACATTTCATTGACTGGTATAATCTTTCCATTAGTTTTTCCTACAGCTTGTTCCAAAATCTGAAAATTTCACTAAGTCAATGTCATGATTATTTAATTCAGCCCGCTCATCTTATTATATTATTATTAATACTTTTTTTTTGTATTTTTTTTTGTTTTTTGTAATGTGTTTATTGACAAAACTACATATATAAGTAATCATAGTATATGGTATAATTATGGTATTAAGTCCATAGTACATCAGCAAAATCAAGACAAATACATATAGTCTTATTATATTATACTAGACACATAATTTCGAAATTATGGAAAAATATACACCGTGGGAAGGGGGCTAAGAGAACACAACCGTCCAGATAAGGGAAATTAACAACAATAATTGATCTCTTTTGTTCTTTTTTGTATAGAGTTTTCGGTCGTTTTGCGACAAACAAACAATGCTAGTTGAAGTAAAAAAAGGTCATGAAGATTTTAACAATCAAATTCTGAATAATGTGATTGTCTATCAGTGGCCATGGGACAATTATAATATATGTTCAAGATCAAGCAACTATACTGATAGTTATTAAAGCTAAAGTTATCATCAACAAATGGTAATTATCACTGTGATAAAATGAGAAGATATCCCTTTCGTATCTTTCGAGTTTGAATGTTCCTTTGGTATCTTTCGCCTCTCTTTTATATGTTGTGGCTGTTAGTGTTCTCGTTTGAATTGTTTTACATTTGTCATTTCTGGACCTTTTATAGCTGACCATGCGGCATGGGTTTTACTCATCGTTGAAGGCCGCACAGTGACCTATGGTTGTTAATTTCTGCGTCATTTGGTATATTGTGGAGAGTTGTCTCATTTGCAATTATACCACATCTTCTTATATTTATATATAGTAACAAAGATATTCCCCTAAAAAGATTGTTTAATAGTTGTTTTTACCTTAATGCAATGCGTAAGTAAACAACAATAAGTGATACGTAATATGACAAAGTATTGATGTTAAACTAGTAATTTATTATGTAAATAACCGAGAATACTTACATTGTTGCATTGATTTCCGCCAATAGGCACATAAAAAATCTTAGTTGTGGACGAAACTATCTCATCAATAACACCATTAATGTCTGATGGTACCTTAAAGTAAATAAATTATTAAGTTATTTTAAGGTCGGCGAAATATAAAACAGGATATTTTCAAGAATGTTTTTCTTTCACCAATACAATAGCCAACAATGATAAAACTAGTTATTCTAAAATGGGCATGAATAATAGATTGTGTGTATAAAAAATACCTTGATTTTTCTTGATTAGTATATTGAAATGCAGTTTAACAAATGATGTAGCTAATATATATATATATCAATATAAAATCATAGTTCAGTTTGCTTCAAATATTAAAACATGAATTACTATTAGCAAATGCTCATCATCCCACCATACTTACTCGAGATTTCCGGAAAGCAAAAATAAAATTTTCGCCATTTTCAGTTGAAAGTTTACATTGTTCTGAAGATCCATTAGTGAAAACTATCATGTGTGCCTGTAACACAATATCTTTGTAGCAGCCTAAAAAACCTGTGAGTAAATATTAGTATTCATAAAAGCAAATCTAATTTCTATGATAAAAACAACATAATATTCTCCCCTTTTATACCAAATAAAAAAGGCTATCAAGAATGAAAAATGTATTTCAACATAGATAATATTGAAGAACAAAATTGCTTAAACTGAAAGAGTAAAGGTTAAAGTTATATCTGCAGACAAGTATTTATCACTTCTTTGTTGACATGAATTATCATTGATATGGCGTTATTTATAAATAAACTGTTAACAAAACCTTGGATTTTTCGAAATACAAAGAACTTTCTACCCAAGGAAAAGATTACCTTAGCTGTAGTTGGCAAACCCTTTCGGTATTTTGGGTTCTCAATGGTATTCAACTTCGTACTTATTTCGCCTCTTTAAAATTTGTTATTCGAGCGCACTGATGAGTTTTTTTTTGTAGACGAAATGTGCGTCTGTCATACAAAATTTGAATCCTGGTATCTATGATGAGTTTATTTACAACCACTGGGTGAATGCCACTGCTGGTGGAGGTTTCTTCCCCGAGGGTTTCCCCAGCCTAGTAGTCATCACTTCTGTGTTGAATTGCATTATCATTAATGGGGTGATCATTATAAATTAACTGTTTACAAAGCCTTGAATATTTCGAAATACTAAAATAATTTTTACCACAGGAATAGATTGCATCTACCTTAGCTGCTTTTGGCAAAACCTTTCGGAATTTTAAGTCCTCAATGCTCTTCAACTTCGTAATTTGTTTGGTCTTTTTAACTTTTTTTATTCGAGCGTCACTGATGATGTCCTGTAACAAGTCAGGAATATGGCAGTTGTTATCAAATAGCTCGTTTCTATGTATGTTGCATTGACGTTTGTTTTTGTTGCACTTCAGTGTTTCTGTTGTTCCGTTGTTTTCCTCTTATAGTTGATGTGTTTCCCTCGGTTTTAGTTTGTAACCAGGATTTGTTTTCTCTTAATCGATTTATGACTTTTGAACAGGGGTAAACTACTGTTGCTTTTATACGTCTTTGGTAGACGAAACGCACCGCATCTGACGTACAGATTTTAAGCCTGGTATCTATGATGAGTTTATAGTTCGCGACGTTTTTTTTTTCTAATTTGGGACCTGCTATTACAGGCATAAATTTTCTTTGCGTTTAGTCCAAATGCTTTTTGTAAGTTCTTTTGGATGTTAAATTATCCAAACAATACAATGATCTGGTTTTATTTGACGCCACACATATAAATATTTAATTTGATTATTTCGTCATCTTCTTATGGAAAATTCTATCTTAAATGTGTAAAACTTGGTGTTTTAAGGATTTTTTCCATCGTATAAAAACACTGACATTTAAGAACGCCATATACAAATAAAATCATAAAAAATGCTGAAATAAAATGCCCGACCTTGCCACTGCTCAATAAAGGAATAATGCAAACGCGTAGACAACAACGGGCACCTGAGATATAATTATTAGATAATTTGGAAGATAAAATTGTATGAAAAGGCAAGACATTCGGTGGTCTGTATAATTATTTCCTATAAACAAGCTGATCGAATGAAAGAAGACATGAACGAGGGTATCACAAAGTAAATACACCATCACTGTAAAACGTACAGTACTTTCAAAAACTGAAAATTTCTTGTTTGTTTATGGAAACACGCGTTCTGAGATTCTATTATTGCTTAAGTTAACTTTTATATAGCAAACAAAGTCACTTACGGCTGTGGTTTCTATTAGATTGAATTCTATCTTATCAGAGTAATGTTCAAATTGTACTTACATGAAGCTACTCCTGCATATCCCATCAATAGACCCGCTAGAACAGGTGCATCTCCTTCCGGTCTTAAATGTCCTTTAATGTGGTTATAATTAATAGAAAATCTTCCTTAGACAAATATTTACAATCTTCATATTTATATTTTAAATAACGAAGCGTTTTAAAGCTACTCTATAAATGTGGTAATCATATTAGTACACTTAAAACTTAAGACTGAGTGATACTATGAAAACAAACAAATCATTAAAAAGCGGTAAATAGAAGGACACATGTCGTCCTTAAAGGTCATTTTGGCGTAAAAATGGGCGACGTTGTCTGCTTTACAACTTCACTCGCGTATGGAGTATACATTCCTCAATTCCCTCGATATCAAAGAGCTTGCAGCTATAACTCAGACTTTGTAAAACGTCATCGGTGTCTGAGCAAAAAAATTAATGAGCCAGGGTTTTGTCAAAGAACGTTTCGTCCTTTTTCTCAAAAAGTTCATCGGATCAACCCCTAAAAGATACATAATCAGAGTCTACTTCACAAATAATACAAACTGGACTTGAGTAATAGATTATAGGTGCTGAAGTTGTGTTTTTTTTTTAATTTCTGTTTTCCATTTATTTGTTTTCTTGATATTATGTTTCTTTTGGGCGTATACTTTTGAGGTGACTCGATTTTTATGTATCCAGCTTTTGGGGTTTTGACTTTCTGCGTATTTATTGCAGGTGGGTCCTCTTGTGAGATTCGCACGTAAGAGGTATTTCAGTGTTGTTTCCATTTTGTTTACACTTGTATTAATATCCTACTTAATTTATAAGTGTTTACTATAGACGGTATGTACTATTAACAACAACATTTTTTTATCGGCGTCTTTGTGAATTGCTATCAGCTACATCCACTTTTTATTGGAGTCTTTGTTAGATTTATTTGTATATATATTTGAATTTATAAGTCAGTTGTGATGTATAATTATACAGTCGTGGCTGCTGGATCCAAATTATTGTCACATTAACCTATTGTGTCCGATTGAGGTTGCTCACCCAATTGTGTCAAAACAACGGAACTATAAACAACTGTAATACTAGTGGGATGTTTAGCTTGCTATGAAACCAGGTTTAACCAACCATTTTCTTCGGGAAATGCCTGTACCAAGTCAGGAATATGATCGTTATTTCAATTCGTTCCGATTTTTCAGTTTTTATGAACCTCCCTTTTTTGAATTTACCCTGGAGTTCTGTATTTCTGTAATACATTTTTTTACGAGTTTCAAGATTTTGGTACCATGGTATTTCGTCGTTATACTACTGACTCCTTTTTGACATTTTATTCTTATACCCAATCCACAGTACATATGTTGTTATTGTTTAGCCGTAGTTGAAAATACATTTTGTACCAACAAAATATAAACATTACACTGTCAAATTGTGAAAAATAATTTAAATGATATTACCTATCAATTCTATTACTAATTCATAATCACTTGTTGGTTCTTGAATAAGTCGTGTTTCTCGGCCAAATACTGCTAATCCAATGCCATTTTCTATATCGCCACATTCCGAACTTTGTTTGATTCCTGTAGAGGAAAACTTGTTTGAATTTAGAAATTGAAAGTTTTGATCATGATTTTATTTTTGTTCTTCGGTTTTGAGAAATAATTTCTTTTCCTGGTCGTTACAGTCAAAGGAAAACATAACATTTGGTTTAAAAGCATGTAGTTGTGTATGCCTATTAACACTTTGTAAGAAAAGGTAAATATTTGATAACATAAACATAATTATTATCCCTCAAATCAATCATAAATTTACAATGAGCATTTCAGCTTTTAATATGTGGTATTTATGCTACCGATTTTATCATGTGTAATCTTTCATTTAATCTAATTTCTGCTTTTCTGTTTGAACTTACCATACACATACTGTAGAGCAGCTGATTTTAACTTCTGAAAATACCCTGTCATACGGTCAGATGTATCTAATACCAAAATAACATTAGGCGATCTTCCTAGTTTAACTGTTCCTGATCTCATTCTAGCTGAAGCTAAAAAATGTAATGAACATTTCACAGTTTTTAACTGTTGATCTAAAATGTCTTTTATAAACCTTGACAAACAATACTTTCTGTATGCACATTTTAACTTGTTTCGTTATTAGCAATAATTTGATGCTTTTTTTACTTTCAAAACATTTAGCTCTTGCTGTTCTTAACATGCTTAATGAAGGTTTATTGTGCGAAAAAAACATTTCTACAAATTATTCTTAGGTCGGACATTTTGACTGAGTAGGGATTCGCATGGCGGTTGATGTATGCATAGCTGAAGACATGGCGAGATCCTGGCTTAGCACCCGTTCTCACTCCTTTTGAGTTAGTACGATTCTCTCAGTTTTTGGTTTTACCTAGATTGGCATTTTCTTATTTGATTTATGAGGTTTGAACATCGCGAAACTACTGTTACCTCTTAATTCCAACATTTTAGGCCCCGGGCTTTCCTGATTGGGGTGAACTTAGTAAAGACTATCACATTAACATGAGAACATAAATTGGATTTACTGTTTCTACAGGGTAGACTTTCGGAGATGGCGAATATTAAAATCGATATATGGTTATGTTGTAAAAATATCTTAAATTCTAAAAACAATATTTTCGGCACGTTGAAAGTATGTTTCAGAAGATAAACGACAATCTAATTTTCCTTAATGATTTATTCGGATACTTTTATACAGTAGCACATTCACAGCATTATCGATACATAGTAACGAGCATGGCATTAGCAAATGTCACTTTTTAAAATTGAGAATGGAAATGGGGAATGTTTTTGTCCGTTATAATTTTTGATTGAATATACGGATTTCCCCCCAAAAAACAACTAAACAGAGAAAAATGACATTTAGACCAGACAACGCACTTAAAAATCATTAACCTTCTACATCAATTACATTATAAAAGTTATGCCTCTAAGAGAAGAGGGACAGCACGTTCAAACGCTAGTCATTGTATGATTGGATAAGAGCAAGATTAGACAAGAGTAATGGAAAAAATGAAATTAAACAATTAAAGAAAAATTAAATAAACGAGTATTAAAACACAAAAAAAGGGGGGGGGGGGGGAAACAGGGCTTCATGCACCCCAAACTGTGCTTTTATCATGTAACATCTCTTTTAAACTTTGTTAACCTTTTAATGACTATCAAACTGTAACGAGTTAGTATATCTGATGTCAAAATACTTACCATATTCTGTCATATGTTTGGTATACTTATACCATTCTCTAACAGTTTTGGGTTGACCAGCATCGAAAAGTCCTTCAAATATATATATTATTAGCACTTTTATTTGATTAAGAAAAATAAACACATAAAGTTTACCAATGATTCCATTAAAAGTTCAACCAATTCTAATTACAAATTTTGCCTTTTCAATTAAAAATTTCTCAAATTCAATCTTTATCGCAAATAGATATAAGTACAAAACAATATTACATATATCATTATCACTTCTTTATTAAATAAGTATAGTTTATCCTTATGAAAGCCGGTTGGTGCCTATGGTTGTTCGCATCTTCGTTCTTTTGTCTCTGGTGGATTGTTGACTTATTGACAATCATACCACATCTAATTGTTTTATTGTTTATCCTTCATACTTTCATCATAAATGTCTTCCTCGTGTCTTCCTCTTGATGATCGCCTGGCTGTACTGTATCTAAATATACATTGATAGTTGTATTTTCTTGACAAGTATAATTTTAAAGGCAGTTGTTCTTATTAAACATCGATAAATCAATTATATCAGTATATTTGTACGAAAAAAAACGAATTATTTGTCATATATGTAAGGGCAATATGAAATAATTATGGTAGAATACATAAGTAGACTGTATCTTTATGTCAAATTATTTGTAAGGAAACATATGTAACTCGCTTTCTCTGAATGTTCACTTGATATATTATCCGTTTTTCATTTTAACTTTTTCATCGATTTGCAGTTTTATATAATGTATTCTGAACTCAATAAAATGTTTCTTACAGATACGCAAATGATAGATTGTCTCGGTTAATGTATCGTTTATAACATGATGTAATTGTGCCGTAGCTAAATTAAAAAGACAAATCTGACCGGATTTAGACTGATTTTGGCTGTTCTATTATGGCTGTTTTTTTTTTAAACTCTCCTATGTTTCACATTTTGGTTTTCAAACTTTTGGTATCGAGCGTACAGTTTATATTATTTTTTCAAGAAAAACATGCTTTGAATTTGGAAACAATATCATAAAGGTCTTATATAGAACATACTTTTTATCTCAAAACCAACAGATCTTATCATTTCCATAATTGTTTAATAATGAACTAGTTAAACGGAGATTTGCCTATTCAGTAGTAATTTCAAGGATTTATCTATGTTAAACTTTAAAACATTATTGACTTAATGACTTGATGAGTCATGTTTTACAAAATTTGGTGACTATGTTGAACGAATCTATCCCATCGAACTAGAGATAAAGGATACTACAGATACAGTTAAGTCTGCCTCATATCTTGACTTACATCTAGAAATTGACAATGAGGGTCGGTTGAAAACAAAACTTTACGACAAAAGAGATGATTTCAGCTTCCCAATTGTGCACTTTCCATTTCTATGTAGCAACATTCCAGCAGCGCCTGCATACGGAGTATATATCTCCCAATTGATACGATATTCCCGGGCTTGTGTTTCCTATCATGATTTCCTTGATAGAGGATTGCTGCTCACAAGGAAGCTATTAAACCAAGAGTTCCAAATGGTGAAGTTGAAGTCATCCCTTCGTAAATTTTACGGACGCCATCACGAGTTGGTTGACCGTTATGGAATAACCGTTTCACAGATGATATCGGATATGTTCCTTATGTCGTAACTACAATACCCTCCCTTTTCACGAATGTGACTTACCGAAATAGACTATTTACCGCATTTGTAATAACATAAGCAACACGACGGGTGCCACATGTGGAGCAGGATCTGCTTACCCTTCCGGAGCACCTGAGATCACCCCAGTTTTTGGATGGGTTCGTGTTGCTTAGTCTTTGGTTTTCTATGTTGTGTCATCTGTACTATTATTTGTCTGTTTGTCTTTTTATTTTTGGCCATGGCGTTGTCAGTTTGTTTTCGATCTATGAGTTTGACTGTCCCTCTGGTATCTTTCGTCCTTCTTTTAGTGAGCTTTTGAGGAGAAAAATCATCGGATCAAAATTTTCGAGACATCATGCAAGCTATTGCTACGATAGCAATGACTGTTTTGATTATTTACAATAACAGTATGATATATAACCGGGGTACTCGTCTGGAAAGTAATAACAGAAAATCGTAAATAACTTAAGAAAGGGAAAAGTATAGATTTTAAACAATGAGTTCTTTGTAGATATTTTGTAAAGATACTTACGATGTCACTGACTTCATCATTGGTCTTATTTCATCTGTGATGTGTTGTATCGGTTTTATATTTGAAACATTCGAATATTCTCTTTGCAGGTCCGTCCTGCAAACGTTTTCCTTTGTGCACCCTCCAGAACTTTTGTGGATAGTATGAAAGCTAACGCGATTGTCGTTCTGTGTTTTTATAGTTTTACTTTTATAGCCAGATTCGTTTTTACGGATCGTGGTTTTTATATTTGGTGTGTTACAATTTTCAATCTCAGACGAATTTTCGTCATCCTTTTTCTTATTAAATGTATATGATGAGTTGTCTTCTTCACTTCTGTTTTCATCTACAATACTTTCTTCACTACTAGTACTATTAGTGAAAGCATTTTGACCTTTATCATTATCACTACAGATTCCTAGTTTTTTAAAGAATTTTGTATCGCTGTTTCCACCGAGAGGTTTGCAAGGGTTGATATTTGATTCATAAGATTGAACTGCATTGGCCAGTAGTCCTACTGTCCGGACATTCACAAAACTCGATAGGTTATGGATATTAGCGTCAGCGCTACAATATTCATTGTCTGATTTATATTCGGTATTATCTTCATCAGATGCTTCACCTTTTTCCCTCCGTGGTATTTTACCTACCCCTACTAATTCGTTCTTTTCTTTTGCATTTAATGAACATTCACAGCAATGATTATTAGTTGACATGTCACTAGAACGATCTTTACTATTTCTCTCGCCTAAGTTTGCCTTATTCTGTAGGTTATCAACAAGTACATTTAATCTACTTGTTTTCAACAACAAGTTGGAAATTTGCTTTGTAACATTGTCTAGATTATTGGCATATTCAATAGATTTAGTGTCCACTCGGCTCACACTTTCTTCTAACTCTAAAAGCATACAGTATTGTCATGAAAAATTAACCCACAAAATAATAAAGCTAAATCTACCTAATAATCTGGAATCCAGTGGATAGATTGTTTTCATGTTACTTTACGAAAACAATAATTTAAAAAAAAGACAAAGAAAGTGCATAAAGGAAATACATGAGATTTTCGGAAACCATATTTTTTTCACACAAAATGTTTCAAATAATCTTACGTAATATGTCTTTGGAGGCAGCAGTCAGTATTGAAGTACCACTCTTGCTGAAACATTAACTAAAACTTAAATGAACTAAAACTGTGATTCGGTACAAAATTAACAATAGATTTTAGATAAAAAAAAAATAAAAACAATAGTTATTTATTCATCACAAGGAAAGATATTGTAAGATCGTCTTAAAATGTAAGATTTATATCTATGTAATTTAAGAATGTCCATTGAACTTCTAGCATTCTCTGAAAAAAGCAAAATGTCCGGGTGTCTTTAAAGCATTTTATGTAAGGTTTTATTAAGAAATTCTGAACACAATATTAAGATATTTTATACAATAGGGAATTTCAAAACGAGTTTTGAACCTATATCATAAACTCATAACTTTTGCATTTTACAGCTTTTTCTTGTGTTGTGATGGTTTACCACTGTACCTTGTAAGAAGGATGGTTGAGCGCTCACATACATATTTTACCTGGCCACAATTTGTATGTGCCTCTCTTACGTGAGGAGTCTCCAATTTAGTTCTTGTCGTTCATTGCTGTCTCTCATGTTTGTTTTTCGTTTATTGTCATAAATCAGGCAGTTGGTTTTCTCTATTGAATTATGTCTCAGTTTTCATGTCAAAGCCTTTCATAGCTCGCTAAATGGTATGGGTTTTGCTCATTATTGACGGAAGAACGATGACATAAAGTTACGAAGATCCACGTTATTGGGACTCTGGTGTACAGTTGTCTCATTGGCAGTATATATTTTTGTTTATATAATAACGGTAAAAGGAACAAAAATTCATGAAATTTACCCATTGGATGCCATTCGGTTTAATATTTCTGTTTGTGTCTTATCTAATTCACGGATCTTCTGCTTCATAGCAATGACCTTGAGGAAAAATAAAATGATATCAACTACGATAACATATACCAATAAATAATGATTAGGCATTATTTTGCATCAGGACAAACCGCATCACGTCAAACAAGAAAAAGTCGAAAATCATACACAAGTCCACAATAATTTCACAATAAACTAGAGATTGAGTATCACAAACCCTTTATCTCCACTACAAATGGGACAAATTACTTACCCTTAGAGAAGACCATGTTGCCATACTAGTGTCATGTTTTTCATGTCCAGATACGACGATAATTCTTATTTGACGACCAGCCATCATAAAAAAAACTCTGATTGGTAGATGTTATTTTCACAACACAAATAGATAGTTGGTTGAACATAACCTTACCTTAAGTTAAGTTAAGTTAAAAGATTGGCATTATTTTATTGCAACTCCTCTAGAAAGCTGAATTTTTCTTATCTTATTCTATTCCGACAAATCAAAAATATTTTTAGTAGGAAAAACGATAAGTTTTTCTTTCGCTATAACGTTAGTTGCATTTAACCTTTTGGATATTCCTAATTGTCTACAAAATGTTTGACCAATATAAAAAAAATCAATTATTTTATTAATTTATAAGTAAAAATGTTATTACTAAAGTTTGTACAGAATAAGACATGCATGCTACTGGATCAATTATTACTTTAATTTTGTTTAATATTGAACAGGTATTTTTAACGTCCTTGTATTAGAGGGTGACACACTCGTAAACGAGTCCAATTTGTAAACAAAAGAAGAATTTTGGACAGACTTACACATTGTAATTTAAGTTTATGTATTTTTCATTGATTTAAAAAAAAAAAGGAGCTTTTGTTCCATGAAAGGTATATTATCCCAAATAGACTATTTGAAATATATATTGTTATCATCTCGAGCTGTCATAAATTCCCATAGTTTGAATTATCATACCTTTTCTCTAATCTGGTTTTGCATATTCTTTATTTCCTATGAAATAACAATTTTATTATAATAAAGATTGTAAGATAATATTTTTGCAAAATATCATAGAATGAATAAACATGAGTTAACTAGCATTTTTTCGTATTTACAGAAAATTAAAATCACACTAACGTTTAAGAAGGAAACTATGGTAAGGGAGATAACACTGTCAAATGTATTTGTGTTTTACCTATTTGCTTACATTTGGTTATGAGAATGATGCAGCAGCATTAAAGACTAAGTTTGACTCTACCAAACAATAAATTTAGGCATAAGTAAAAAAAGTAAAAATATAAAGCTGAATAAGTTAGGCAGTTTTCATGTATGTATTATTCATATTTCTTTTTGTTCATTGTTTTGTACATACATCAGGCCATTAGTTTTCTCGTTTGAATAGACAACTTTCGAGTTCGTTGCATTTCCGTCAAAAACTTTGGTTTTAGTGAACATCATTCGTGCGTTTAGGGGCGTCGTCACTTTCGTTCCTATGTTGAGCGATTGGTTGAAAAAATGATAATGCTATATTGGACGAATTATTCGGCAAATTAAATTTTTATAATTGATATTCAGCACTGCTATCATTTGTGATTAAGTACTTACGGAACAAATATTATTTCTATTTTATCCTGCATAATGAGGATCATAAAGACGCTTGACAAACTTTAATAGAGCAGGGATACAGGCGATCCCCTCTATCTGGTAAATGATGTCACAAAGGCGCACAAAATTGAAGAACTTTTCCGGTGAAGGACATAACTCGAAAGTGGTCTATTGTTTTACATTTGTCATGTCTAGAAAGGGAGATAACACTGTCAGATGTATTTGTGTTTTACCTAGTAGTTTACAATTGGTTATGAGAATGATGCAGCAGCATTTAAGACTAAGTAAGTTTGACTCTACCAATCAATAAATTTAGGCATTAGGTAAAAACAAGTAAAAATATAAAGCTGATACAGCCCTTGAATGTTGTAAACTTCCCAAAAAAACGTGTATGGTGTAATGATGTATGGCATATGGTGCAATGGTAGAAGGTGTATGATGCTATGATGTATGGTGTAAGGGGAATGGTGTAATGGTGTAAAATGCGATCGGGAATGGTGTGAATGAATGTTGTACGACATTTAAAACTATGCAAAATATTGATAAGAACTGATTTTTTATTTTATACATTAATTTACAATATGGTGATCGAAATTCTTTTTTTAAAATAAATAAATAATTTTGTAGTCGCACTCTTTCTTTGAAATTAAAATGCATTATGGTGTAATGTGTAAGGTGTAAGGTGCAAAGGTGTAACGTGTATGGTGTAATGGCACAGGGTGTATGGTGTAATGGTGTATGGTGAATGGTATAATGGTGTATGGTGTTAGTGGGAAGTTTACCCCATCCAAGGACTGTAAGGTAGGCAATTATCATTCATGCATTTTTCCTACTTGTTTTTAGTTCATTGTTTTGTACATATATCAGGCCGTTAGTTTTCTCGTTTGAATTGTTTTAGATTTGTCTTTTCCAGGCCTTTTAAAGCGGACTATGCGGTATGGGTTTGCTTATTGTTGAAGGCCGTACGGTGACCTATAGTTGTTAACTTTTATGTCATTTGGTCTCTGGTGGAGATAAGTCTCATTTGCCATCATACCACATCTTTTTATCTTATATATGCAAGGCTTCTAAAAAAATATTAATATAAGTATAGAAAGAACAATGTAGGAGTGATGTTTCATCGTAAAGCGTTAGGCTGTAATTAACTGTATGTCTTTCTTCTTCCGATATACACAACAATATTCTGGAAGATATGATCTGAACAACCATCCGTGTACAAGCTTTTGCTAACAGATTGCCTACATTTTTTTGCGTAACTCAGTCCTACCCCTCACGACACGTTCATTGATTTAATTGTACTGTTCACAAATAAGGGATACGTTTGTGAATCTTCCACAAGAGAAAAAAGAAAAGTAATGCATAACAGAAATTGTGTGTCAATGAAACCATATTCAATGCGGTTTGGGTCTTGCTCATTGTTGAAGGCCGTTTGATAACCTATAGTTGTTGACTTCTATGTCATTTGGTCTTTGGTGGAGAGTTGTCTAAATGGCAATCATACCATATCTTCTTATTTTTGTTAAAAAAGTGAAATAGACATCTAGATGTCAAATTAGAATTTTTATCAACACACAAGTGTTTTTTTTACACAGGACAAACTGTCAACGGCCAATTTTTTTAAGAACCAACTCCTTCCGTTTTTTTAAAATTTCAATTTAAGCATGTTTAAAGATTGATTGATTGGTGGATGGATGCTTCACGTCCAGCGACAATACATACTTGTTGACATGTTAGTCGTGTTTCAAATAGTAAATACGGGAATTGATAATAATCCATACAATATACGTAGAAGACACTTTTATTTTACAACAACAATTCATAAACTCTATCAATAAGGTTTTTTTTGGCAAACAACAAAGATTTGAAGAATAGTTTGTAGAGTTGTGAACTTAAGGGGGTAGGCCTTGGTAATCCCAGCATTTTCCTTTCGTTTAATCTTTTTTATACTTACACTGTTGAAATTCACCGTTGCATTTTCTGTTGATGGTATATTGAATATGACCAGTTTTGGGGGTACCATAAAAAAAACCGGTCAAAAACACTAGTAGGCATATATTATTGCGTGTTTTTGCACCTGTTCTCATTAGGAATATCCATGACTGTTAAAATGTGAAGTAGAATCATATTTAAGAGTAAATCTGAAATGTCATGGTAGTATGTGTAGCCTGCATGTAAACAAATGGTTTAAAATGATTGAATCAGTCGAAAATTCTGGTCAGCTCAGATAACACATTTATTTTTCAAACTTTGCCAGAATTTTTTTTATCGTTTAATTCATCCAAAAAATTGCTGAAACAATCATTGTTTATAAACCTTCGAAATCACAAACTTTTAGTTGAATTTGACAGTTTCAAAT